CAACAAGTCCCTTCGAACACAAGAATCAAGAATACCAAATTATTACAGTATCTTAATATCGGTAATAAATGAGTATAAATCAGTTTTAGAAAAAATATGCGCTTTCTGTGGCAAAAGCAAATATTAAAATGGTAAAAAAAAATGGTTTCATTTAAAAGCAATGTTTCAAAATGAAAAAGACGTTTCTTATGTTTTCTTTGCTTATAACAACATATTTACCTTATTAGAAAAAGTCAACTGTTGCACATAATAAAACATCTTTAAGAAAATACTCAACAGTTTTCGCAAACAGTAATTTTCTAAAAACGACATTTAATATTTTGTTAGGCAATCTGAAAGAGCATTTATCAGTATTTTCCCTATATTTTGTAACGACATGCCACAATTATGCTTTCTGCACACTGTGACTGCATCAAATTTTTTAAGTTGAAAGCATTTTTCATTTTTTTAGCATTAATATTTCAGAATTGGCAACAACTAACATTTCCATTTTATTACTACAGTACTCTCCTCAAGAACACACAAATTCTCAAGCTGATTTTTTTAGTCCAAAGGGGCTTTGTCCCTGAAGGACTATTGTTTCAGTTTTGCGATATTGCGTTGAATCACTATAAATGTCCGCTTCACTTTTCAAACTGTTGCCACCAAATGTTAGAGTTCTGCATTATATTTGATGAAATTAAATAATAAAAAATCTACACAAATGTATGTATATTTCTCGCATTGTGATAAAGCAACGGTACATAGAGCCATCGAATTCTGAATGACGTAATCCTACTACGACTATAGGCATGTGGATGACCAAATTTGAAATTTGGAATTTGTGTTATTATCGATTTCATATTCTGTAAAACTAACGAATTTTTGATTAACAAACTCAAGGATTTTAAAGAGAGCAATTGCAAAACTCTACGGGGAAAAACCTTTTTGTCCAGCTGTGTATCGGAAATTTTAAAAGATAGGCTCATTTTAAAATTATTTTGCGACATTGCTATTGAACTGAATTTTATGGTTTAAGTGCAAAGAACATGATATTTAATAAATAAAGGTAACACAGCAAAATGTTAAAAAAAGCCCTTTTGGATGTAATTTAAAATGTGAAATTTTTCAGATTTTTTTAGTCCAAAGCGATTTGAATCCCGAAGGACTATTAGTTTCGTTTTGGCATTTTGCGTCGGACTCATAAATGTCGGTTCACTTTTCAAACTGTTGCCACAAAATGTTAGAGTCCTGCATTATATTTGAAGAAATTAAATAATGAAAAATCTGCATAAATGTATGTATATTTCTCGTATTGTGATAAAACAACGGTACATAGAGCCATCGAATTTTGAATAACGTAATCCTCCAACGAATATGAGCATGTGGAAGACCAAATTTGAAATTTGAAATTTGTTTTATGATCGATTTCCTATTTTTTAAAACTTTGACGAATTTTTGATTAACAAACTGAAGGATTTCAAAGCGAGCAATGGCAACGTTGTGCAGAAAAACATTTTTATCTCCAGCGCGTGAGTCTCTGTATCGGAAATTCTAAAGATATGCTCGTTTTAAAACTATTTTGCGATATTGCTGTTGCACTGGATCTTATGGTTTAAGTGCGAGGAACATGATATTTAATAAAGAAAGGTAACACACAAAATGTTAAAAAACGCCCCTTTGGACGTAATTTAAAATCTGAAACATTTCAGATTTTTTTTTTTTAAACTTTTTTTCTTCTTTATATTTTATGTTTATTTTTGTAGGTATTACTATATTAAATAAAGTTTTATGTGTTAATACGTAATTGAAATAGTTTAAAATAGAGACTTTCAAAAGGCACAAATTTTATGTTAGTCGGAAAGCTAACATATTAAATATTGCGCTATTTGCGATTAAATATAGATAAAATCGCAAATGCGCTATTTGCGATTAAATATAGAGATTCCATATTTATGACATGCTAACAGAAATTTATCCTCATTTCTGTCCACAAGTTATCTCCTTCCTATTATCTGAAGTGCTCAAACAGAAGTCAGTCAGTTCCTCAAAACCTTGTAATAATCCAAAAGGATTTGAAAAAAAAAAAAAAAAAAAAAAAAAAAAAAAAAAACTGATATATTATTAAATCTGAAGATCCTTATATGTGGAATATGTTAATAAAAAAGATCTTTAAATTAGCTTTCACATCTGCCTATACCTTTTCTATTTAGAATAGTGCAGCTGAATTTCGTTTTCAAATTGCTGAGTTTGTTAAACAAATTTTAATTTGTACAAAATATGTAATAAATTGAAATTAAAAACTCGGACTTGGAGGTCCCGTGCTTGGGTGGAAGATTACGTGCATGAAAAATTCGGTTTCTCGTAATGCAAGGTGCATACACACATACACATAGATTCTTCATTATTTAATTTTTTTTAAACAATACCTCGCAATAACATTTTGTGGCAGCAATTTGAAAAGTGATTCGGACACAAATACAAAAAAGGAGTCGTATTGCACCTCCGCTGCTAAAAAAATAAAAGTCTATACGGTCAGTATTTATATTTTTCTGACTTATATATATTATTTAACTATACAGCTTTTAAATCCACACATGCTAAAACACGTGTGTGGTTCGCGCATGTGAGTTGATTGTTGCCCCGTGTATACCGTTGAGGTAAGAAGGAAACTCATTATACTACTTCTTAACTCCACAGTGTATACTCAAATGCAACAAACAAATGTAACAGCAATTCTAACAGATGTTTAAACCGAGGTGCAGACAGGAAACCTATTTATTGCAATTTATTAATTTTAAATCTGAACTTATCATACAATTTGAATATAAATCACGTTCATACAATTAGAAAGTATTTTATCCTTACATTGCCGCTTATTTTAAAGAAAATTTTATGCAATTAAATAGTATTTCTTCAAATTTTAACATATTCAACATAAAATTTATTCTTTTCAAATTTCAAATTTTAACATATTCAACATAAAATTTATTCTATTTAATAACTGATGCAGAGGAAAAGGTGTAAAATACCATCAATAATTTTCATAAATTGTCAAACTATCTCAAATGAAATTTCTTTTAATGCTAATGACTTACGCAGAGTTATTCCGTTGCCTTTTAAAAGCGATGAGTACAACTGCAAAGATTTCAACATAGTTGAAACGAACAAAATTAAAAATTAAAACCAGATTTTACTGTTTCATGTGCAATAATAAATAACAAAATAAAAATTCTTAAATTCAACGTGAGCTGGAGATTAAACATATATCAAAGTGCTTTTCGCCATCCTCTAGACTGATGAACCATATATTTTTTGGAATTACAAATATGGTTGGGAAGATAAAAGTTCTCCATCTATGAGTATTATATTGCCTATAGAAACACTCTCAAATCTAAAAGAAATGTGTTACTACTGCTCGAAATAGAATAATTCTATTTTCAAGCGCCGTTGTGTTTCCTCTCGGCAGAACATAGTATAAATAATAAACTGAATCGTGAAAACAAATCACACATAAAGATAAAATGCACTTTTTAGCACAAAGGGGTAATTTGCCCAGAAGGGTATTATTTTCGTTTTGGTATTTTGCACCGTCGAATATAAAATTGCGTTTCACTTTTTGAATTGTTGCCATCAAATACTAGAGCCCTGCATTATAAATAAAGGAATTAAGCAATGAAAAATCTGCATGAATTTATGTATGTTTCGAGCAATGTGAAAAAACAACGGTATCCACGACATTCTGAATAACGTTGTCCTCTACTCGAATGTGGGCATCTGGAAGCCCGAATTTGGGATTTGTTTTATTATTATTTCATATTTTGTAAAACTTTAACGAATTTTTGATTAACAAACTCAACGATTTCAAAACCAGCAATGGGAACTCAGTACGAAGGGAAAAAAATGATTTCCAAAGCGCGAGACTGTGTATAGGAAATTCTAAAATATGCTCTTTTTAAATATTTCGTGATATTGCTGTTGAATTGCATTTTTTGGTTTAAGTGCGAAGAACATGATATTTAATAAATAAAGGTAACACACAAAACATTAAAAAAAACGCCCCTTTGGGCGTAATATAAAGCTTTCTAAAAGCTTTCAGATTTTTGTTTGCTTGAATAACTTTAGATGAAAAAATAATACTTATTCGGTTATTTGATTGGGAAAATAAGCGATTTGAAAAGCAATAAATGCAGTTCTTCAACTTTGTTATGACTAATGACTATCATTGATGCGCTCATTAAAACAATTATATGTTTTTTTTTTTTTTTTTTCTTTCTTCTAATAATTATTATAACAGCTGGAATAAATAAATTTTCTAGATATAATACTTGCACAGCTTGTAAAATTTTACAAAAATAATTTTTAAGCAAATCCGGAAGTATAAATCAATCAGATCAAAGTCCGCTTTAACCAGAAAATAACATTAACAATAAAAAAAGGCTAACATGCTTCTAATTCCTTAGCTTCCGTTTCTACTAAAAGGTAATACAAGAAAAGACACAAGTTAGTAATCAAATTCGCAAAAACTACTTCCTACAATAACAATTATCTTTTTTAATATGCACATGTATATAGTTAATACTATCAGAAATTTTTATTTGCAATAATATAAACGTGTCCCAATTAACATACTAAATGACAAAAATGGCGTCCCATTTAACATGTAGGAAACGGCAAATTAAAAAATGGACATGCCACACACATTGCCTATAAACAGAAAGCAAAAAGATTATTATTAATGTCGACAGCAAACACGTTTTAAAGACGGAAATTTGCTACTGTTGCTGATGCGATGCCAAATCTAGTAACCCTACTCAACGCAGCCGGCTCAGCGGCCAAAGTGAAAGTACTCATTACCGTAGGCAGAGCAGGAAGTAATACTTAACTGTAAACTAGGTGTTAACACTACGTTGTTCTGAAATCGAGACACAGATATTTCATTGGCCGCACCGGTAAAATATGAATCGGGGGAAAGGGGGAATAATAAAAAAATAAAAGAAAGAAAGGAAGAGGAGAAAGTGAAGACTACAAAACAAAACCAACACGTGCAAAAAAAAATTAAAAATTAAAAATCTTGGAAGGGTTCTGCAGAAAGCGAACTTATTTAAGTGTGAAAGAACAGAAGAATTGACCAGAAGATTTTCGGCTGTTTGTAGTGACCGTTCACCGGATATACAGGTAAGCTGAATACTACACGTAACTTACGTATTTTCGTGTATTTTTAAACTGCGGTGTATGGAGAGAGTATAAATCACGTTCATAGAATTAGAAAGTATTTTATCCTTACATTGCCGCTTATTTTAAAGAAAATTTTATGCAATTAGATGGTATTTCTTCTTCAGGTAGCAAAATATATAAATGCAGAATAATTTCGCACAGTTAAAGAAGAGGGATTCTTGATATATTTTCTCCACACGCACAAACGTTTTCTGTAAAACTAGGCTGAAGGTAATTTGAAATTTGGTCTAAATCCGAAGTTCATATTGGCATGCTTCCCTTCAAGAAAAATGCTCAAATATTTTTTTTTTAATTTAAAATGTTATATTTTAAATCAAAATTGCGAATTTACTAAAGTCTCTTTTCCGCAAATGAAAACTAGCTAGACCAAAATTTGTTACTGAAAAACAATCTTGATCACCTTATTGTACCATATTAAATATAAAATAAGATTAAGTAATTTGCGGTCAGTTTTACAAATTTCACAGGAAATTATTAGATTTGGAGAAATATTTATACTTTCAAAGGTCAAGATTTACTGAGATCGCAGGCTAAAGATTCTCTATGATATCTTTCGAAGCCGTTTTAGTTTAGTAATGCCAATGGAAAAAGCTATGCTTATTTTCAGAAACAAACAAACAAACAAAAAAAAACAAAAAAAATCTTGAACCATTAAGATTTTATATTGTGCCCAAAGAGGCATTTTTTAAACGTTTTCCGTGTTACCTTTATTCATTAAATATCATGTTCTTCGCACTTATACCATAAAATTCAGTTCAACAGTAACATCGCGAAATAATTCTAAAATGAGCATATCCTTAGAATTTTAATTACACAGTCTCGCGTTGGACATAATTTTTTTTTTTTACAGTGTTGCCATTGCTCGCTTTGAAATCGTTGAGTTTGTGAATCAAAAATTCGTTAAAGCGTTACAAAATATGAAATCGATAATAAAACAAATTCCAAATTAGGGCTTCCAGATGCCCATATATGGCGGAGGATTACGTTATTCAAAATTTGATGGCTCTAGGTACCATTGTTTTATCACAATGCGAGAAACATGTATACATTTATGCAGATTCTTCATTATTTAATTTCTTTTAATATAGCACAGGGCTCTAATATTTGGTGGCAACAATTTGAAAAGTGAAACGGACATTAAAAGTTTCGACGCAAAATGCCAAAACGAAATTAATAGCTCTTCTGGACTAACAACGTAATGCACTATTTACATGCCGAACACCACCAATCCAAAAACACGAATCTTTATCTTTACTTGCTCTTTTGATTTACGTAAGTTTTTGAAAAAATTTTTTTTTCTAAAATGATAGAATTATATGCATTAAGGCAGATGAAGGAATTTTGTATAATCCATGAACACTTACTTTTAAAACCAGGTAGGTGTCAAATATTAAAGCGCATTTTTCACAAGTAATAATTTTGAAGTTTCGTGGTTTTGGCGTGGAGTTCATATTCTCCAAACGCAAATAATAATTTTAATAATAAAATACAAAGTAGTATTTTTTAAATAAGGTAAAAAAGCAGTCTTAGATTAAGGAAGATATTGAATAAAGCTTTATTCAAATTTCACACCAACTCAAAATCTACGATAATCTAAGGTTGCGTTTTTGCTAACTTTAAATTTTGCATCAGTGTATTTGCGTGTCATTCCAGCTTACATTAATTTTTTTTTTTTTTTATTTTATTTTTTTTTTTTTTAATTTGGTGTTCAGCAGCATGCCTTTAATGAAAACTCAGGATACGCCTCTGTCCAAACTGATATTTAAGCCTAGAATAAATCTAAAACGAAATGACACCTTCGTTCGTTAAAATTCGAAATAAATATGCTGCTTTTGTTATCACCAGAGGTCTCAATTCTCACTTTTTGTCCGTATCACTTTTCAAATAAAACGATGTTGGATGTTGCCACAAAATGTTATCGCCATGTATATATTTTTTTTAAGGCAACACAAATAAAAGTATGTAGCCACCGAATGTTATCGCTACGTATTCTTAAAAAAAAAAAAAAAAAAAAAAAAAAAAAAAAAACTAATGTGGATATAAAAAAAGTATATTAACATTTAACTCTATCTGCAATTCTAAAGAAATGCTCCTTTTGAAAATTTTGTAACATTTCTGTTTAATTTTATATGGCTAAATGATGCATTTGTAATGCATAATGTTACATTTATTAAGTGATTTTTAGTAATAAAGTTAAAAAGACAAAAAAAGTTGTATAAATCATTTCGTTAAGAAAACTGAACATTGCTATGATAGACTGAGAAGAGACAAAAAATAGGAAGGTGTACCGCAATACTTAATATTCTATCGGTTATCACAAACATATGCTGCTTTTAAAAATGTTATGATTTTTCTGCCGAATTTTATGTGTATAAGTACGTAAAAAGTCATGTTTAATAATAAAATTAAAGAATTTAAAAAGAAACTGTGTTAGCAAGAATGAGTTCAAGAGCAGATCGGAAAGCTGCGAGCTTAGATAAAGCATAAGAAACCGTAAGAAAACTCTCTGATGCAATGTTAAAATCTGAATCCTTTCAGATTTTCTTTTTATATTATGTTATCTTCCTTACTAATATTTGGGATTTTTATTGCTTTTTTTTTTTTTTTTTTTTTTTTTTTCCTAGTTAAACCCTAACAAAGGGAAAATACGAACAAAACTAAAGCACCATGAAAATAGCAGGACTAATTGGCGTTCTGACCCTGGCCATATTTTTGTCCTGCTGTTTGCATCAAGCAGAAGGAACTTTCAAGTTACTTAAATTGGTGAAAGCTGGTCTTCTCCTAAAAGCCCTCAGCCCGAAAAAAATTCTACTTCCTGTGCCAATTCCTATTCCCATCGGGTAAGTATCTGAACATAAATACTTGAAAGATACTTCTAAGTTATTACGTAATTGTTTTTACCAATTAATAAACATGCTTCTTCGTACTTAACGGATATGTAACTATACAATTAAATTAACGTTGAATTAATTACACGGGTACTTATTCTAATCTTAGTAAATGATAAATTTAAATATTAAATAATTATGCTATGTATTATTTCACAGAAGTTACTTTAATTGTATAAATAATTATGCGTTTTATAATTCAACTGTATTATTTGAGCCTTCTTTTCCCTATGCAAAATACCCATTCCAGTTAATAGTTAGAGATTTACATACTTGCTCCTATTTTGTGATAGATAAATTTATAAATACCGCATACTTACACTAGGTATTATTTCGCAGAAGGGAGTCTAATACATAATAAATTTTTTCATGTTACATTGTTCAAAATATGTTTATTGTCATTTCATTCCTCTCTAAAAGATATTCATCAGTCGGGTGTCAATTTATTTCAATAGTGGCGCCATCTATTCGAGATGATGAAACTACTCTGCAAAATATGTCACAGTGGTGCCCTCTTTTGTTGAAACAGCGAGTATCAGATGAAAATGATCTATTAAGTATCCTACTATCACTGATAACAGCAGTTTCTCATACCCGCCCCAAACTTAAAATTAATTAACATATTTTTAATATAATATTAATAAATGAATTTGAAGCCTGAAATAAAAAAGAAGTGTACTTTAAACACGAAAAAAAATTTTTTGAAATGCACTACTCGCTTAATTAAAATGCACGGAAAATCATAATTTTTTAATTTTTTATCTTTAAACATTCCAAAATCAATAAAAGTATAAATTATTGATTAACTTTGATACCTAAAGATGAGAAATTTTACAATTAATTATTTATTTTTACAAATTGTGCAGATTTTATTAGTAGTTTACTAAAACTTTTTAAGATTTAAAATAATTACTTGTTTAAGATGAACTCCGCCAGATACGAGGACAATTTGCTATAAATTTATTTTTTGCGCATTTTAAGCAAATGATATTTCTAAAAAATTCAAAGGAAGGGAATTAGGAATCATTTTATCATTCAAGGCAATCATAAATAAAGAATATAGTAACGAAGCCTGACTTCTTCATTTGGTAAGTAGGTTCAACATTCATAATAAGAATAAAGTTTCTGAAAATTACCCTTCTTAAACTGGTATTGTTTGTTCCAATGCAAATAATGCAACTTTTTGAAAGCAACTAAAAATGGAAATAATTTGAAGAGAAATCTTGCGAATTATATATTTAATAAATCTCTTCTGTAAATGCTAAATAAACATCACGTAAAATTCCATACCCGTTCTACCTATTATTATAAAATTAGGAACCAGTGAATGAGTGTGTAAGTTCCTCGCACTGTAAAATTAAATGGTGTTATCTAGAGTTGCCGAATTTTTCGCACTAGTCTTGCACGCGAGCAAGTCCAACTCAAAACCCTAATTTTAAGAATTATGTTTCTTTAGTTTCTGTTTTGTGTGAATTAAAAAAAAATTTAATATTTTTCTACTGCTACAGATGCAGACTTTCAAATTTTATGTTATTTTCATACATATCTCACAATTCCAAATCTTATATAAAAAACAACAACAAGAGTTTCTTTCCCCTTTCAAACGAAATGCTTTCCAACTCTGCATTTAAAAATCGGATTTTTAAGAATTTTAGAAAAAGAAAACAGGTTATAAAATTTTTAAAAATTTCGAAAATTATTTTCAAATTATTCAGTTATAAAACGCTAAGCATTACAGAATGTATATTATACATACATAAAGTTGATCTCTTATAAATTTTGTTTCATCTCCGTATTTTAAAATTTTGCTGATTTTATTTTCTCAAAGGCACTTGAAATTTCCTATGGCATAATGACATTTTGATCAAAAGATTAATATTTCATTTCCCTCTTTTACCATCTTTTAACGTCTTCATTGTCGTCCCGTTATCATCATTATCCATATTTTCGTCTTTTCGCATCATCTTAAATCTAAATCGTCATAGAAACCTAACTCATGGCAACAGGAACACAGGAGCTCTTGCTCGGTTCCTCTGTTACATGATTTGAATCTTGATTCACAGTTGTCATTCCTTTGGCTAAGCGTAACTATGTAATATCGAAGAAATTCTTAAAGTATTTTTTCTGTCTGTTTTGTGTAGTCCGTTTTATATTCGTATCACACTTCTGACCGAATTCTATGCAGATTTCATGTTTGCTTGAAACAATAGAATAAATAAATCTACAAACAACAAATCTACACTTAAATTATCAGAAAGATTTTATTTACACACACACACACACAACAAAAAAAAAACAAAAACAAAAAAAAAAAAAACGCAACGGTTGTTACTTTCTTTAGAATTCTAACTCTTTCATTCTGGTAATGCCTTGCAAAAAGGAAATATTCTGTTTAAGCTGGAAACATATCTTTTCGTTTACAGAAAAGCGTCTATGAAAGTTATCAAATGTAAGATATGCTTATTAAGCTCGCCTCGAATATTCTGGATTCTATACTTACAAACCTAAGAAAAATGAACTAATAAAGATCAAAATACTAAAATTAATTTGCTTTCCAGGATCAGCCAGCATAATCAGTATCATTACCAGAGTCATGGGCATCACGGTTATGACTACTATCAACCACATTACGGATACGATTACGGTGGCTACGGTCACGGAGGAGGTTACGGATACCACAGCGGCGGCTATCACGTTGGATGGTAAAGTACACAAAACTGCAAGTACCAAGTGCCAATTATCGCACAAAAACTGTGTATAGTTCATGTCAGTATCGTTTTTGTTTTATTTACTTTTTTGTACATTTCAAGTACAAGTGTTGTATATTGCAACTTAAACGACAACTCAGTACATTATATAAAAGATGAAAGTACAACTTAATGAAGACATTTTTAAACTTTTTAAAAGAAGAGAAATTGTTTGCTTTCATATTACGTACTCAATTTTCTTTTTAAATGTTGTACTAAGGATTGCTTCACCTTGAGTACAACGAAACGTTGCTGTTTCAGTGATGCAAGTGTATTTATTGCAAATTATTTCGACACACGCGTCAACTAGAACAATAATTGTGTTCCACGTTCATCACAAGTATTATTTTATCTTAGGAAGAATTATTTACCCTTATTTAGGTAAAGTAATCATTAATTTTTATTGTGATACGTTTTTGCTTACAAATAGTGCGCATTTTTAAATTACAAAATAGGAATTTTAAAATTATTTAGAATTCCTATATATCTGACGCAACTGTTTGCTATGTATCGAAAAAGTTTTTATTTCACTTTTAGACTTCCGTTTGTACAATAGCAATTGTTATAAACAATTTCTTCCTTAATTTAATTGTAAATATACGTTCTAGTATGTTCCACTGTAGTGGAATGTAACGTGAAATGAATGTTGTGTTTGAATTTTAACTCTCAACGAAAGGTCAGTTAGAATTGAAATGGCAAGATAAGGAAAATACACACAAAAACAATATGATAAGTAAAAAAGGTGAATTATTAAAATTAAATCACAAATATTTAGAAAAGAAAGGGAAGAATATTTAGAAAGAAGAGGGCTTTACCTTCTCATTATAATGGAAAGAAGAAATAATTCACGTAATAAATAGTTAAACCATGAAATGATTTAAAAACTGAAGTATGTATTTTAAGAATTTATTTTATGTTTATTGCACTGTTTAATAATTTTAAAGGAATTTTCCTTGCTTTGCAGTATCGCTTATAACTGATAGATCGCTGGGAAATAAAATTAAATTTTAGAGATAATTTTACTACACACCTTAAAAAATAAATTGAGGAATGCCAAGACAGTGTGTTAAATTAAGGCTATGAAAAACATACTAAACAAGGAAAAAAATACACAAATATACAAATTTAATTTATAATCGGAATATCTCGTTATTTAATTTCAGTATAGTCGTGATAAAATTCCTCACTAATTTTAGTTTTGACACTTTTATTGTTCTTACGATAGTTTTAGTTACATCTGACATTTTTAAAAAGAGTGTAATTAAAACTGTTTGAAATAAAAGTATTAAAGCTAAACTTACATTTCTAGATATGTAAATAGTCTGTGATATATAAAAATAATTTGAAATCTGTTTTGTTATTCTCTAATTATATATACGTTAGAAACATAGATTAAAAATTTCTTTGAATATTAATTTGTTTGTTTCAGAATACCAGCAGCATATTTATATATATATATACTGCATTAAAAATAAGCGTCATTCAAATTTTTATATTATTATTATTTTCAAGTATATACTTTCTTACTACAGAAAAATTTGGTTTGAAATATTATAGTATTTTTCTGTGGGTGATTTTATGTATTCAGAAATTTAAGGTAATAAAAGCGCGAACGTTAAGGTAATTAAAGTTCAGAAAGCAAAATACAAATGCAACTGTATTTTTAAAATGTACATTGAAATATTTAGTGTTATTTATAACAGATAGATGGCAGCACTACACAAAATTACCTTACTATTTTGCGTTTTATGTTCAATATTGTGAATATTTTAAAAACATGCTGGAACTTTCTGTGCTCCTATATATGCATATTTGTCGTATATATGTAAAAATAGTAAATATTTTAAATAAACTTTTATTATTTGTTTCCTTTCTTTGTCTAATTTTTTACGCTCATCAACAATTTAAATGCAAAAAACTACAAATTGTATTTGAGTCTCTGCTATCACATTTCATTTTCATAATACAAGAGGTTTACAGTTTCAAGAAATATATATTTGTGAATTTTAATCCAGAAGTCATTAGAGGACAAAATGCGTCGAACAATTTTCTCTAAAAGAAAATTATGTGCGCCTCAACTTGATACGTCAGCGAGAAAACATTCTTCCGTCATCAACTCATTTCGATAGGGGTTATACTTTTTCCTAAGATTAAAAAAAAATGTCGCTGTCAGGTTAGTTATTTCAATAAGAAAGGGATGAAACAGAATCGTACGCGCTGAAAAGTTTTTTATTGACAATACTTAATTTTGAAACCAAGTACTTTGATGTAACAGATAAGACTAGGTTGCGTTACTTGAATATGGCAAACAACACGATGGCTGCATGCATAACAGGAAGAATACCTTCATGGAGAACTTTCTAAGAGAAACTGGCTCATATTCATGTTCCATATGGGAAAATCTGCAAATAACACCCATACATACAATCCATTCGCCCACACGAGAGATTCTCAACCGTATTCTTGCACTGACCCTATTTAATTTTTTTTTTGTTTTTTTTGTTTTTTGTTTGTTTGTTTGTTTCCCACTTAAAATTTTTCCATAATATATAGTATGCAACATAATCATAATACAAATAATTGCACATAAATGGCAAAGAAAACATTTAGATTAAGAATATGAACAAAAGTTTTCGAAAACGGTTTATTAGATTAATGTTATTTTAAATGTTACAAACATAAAAATGTTGTAAGAAATAAAAAATCAATTTTAATTAATGTGATGGCTTTTTAATACCTGGCATAAAACTGCTTAACTTACTTCCTAAATCCTCTCGTTCAACAATATTCAATAGGTTTCTTGTTTGCCGTAGAAAATTATTGACTTGACTAAAACTTATTTCTAATGTAGGTAAAGCGTCAGTTAAGTTGGTTCGGTATTATTTTGAGATATTTCTTTCGGATGACTTTTAAAATCCAAAACTTAGCGTATATATATTTCTTCGAATAAATCACTACTTTATACGATCTAGCTTTAAGCTAAATAATAAACAAATACTAATTTTTAGTCCAAATAGACCTTGTCCCTGAGGGACTACTGTTTTCGTTTTGGCATTCTGCGTTGAAATCTTTAAAAGGATCTATCACTTTTGAAACTGTTGCCACCAAATATTAGAGCCCTGTCTTATATTTGAAGAAATTAAATAATGAAGAATCTGCATAAATGTGTGTATGTTTCTCGCATTGTGATGAAACAACGGTACCTAGAGCCATCCAGTTTTGAATGACGTGTTCTTAGAGCGAATATGGGCATTTTCACGAATTTTTGTTTAACAAACTCAACGATTTAAAAGCGAACAATAGCAACACTCTACCGGGGGGGGGAACCTTTTTATCTCCAGCGCGCGGAACTGTGTATCGGAAATTCTGAAGATATGCTTATTTTAAAATTATTTTGCTACATTGCTATTCAACTGAAATTTATGGTTAAGTGCGAAGAACATGATATTTAATAAATAAAAGTAACACACAAAACGTTAAAAAAATACCACCCCTTTGGACGTAATTTAAAATCTGAAAAACCTTTCAGATTTCGTTTTTTCTCATATTAATAATTTTTTGTAATCAGTGGGATCTTGATGCCGATCAATTACTGGTGTATATTCTGCTTATCTACCCCAAACCGACCCCTTGATTCTCCTTGACCCCCTTTAAAATTTTATCGAATCCCGTTAAACCCCTGGCGTAGATTCTAACACGTGTTTCCAACTACCAGTATTCAACGATCAGCCTCTTGGCCACTAAACAGAAAAGAACAAACATATCTTATTTAACAGTAGCCAAAGGAAGATTTTGAGGAGCATCTATCTGCAGAAAATTGTTTGGCGGGTGTTGTGCTGTAATGGAAAAATTTCCAAACTTCTTAGCATTTGTTTTTAGACAGAACTCGGTTAATCCTGAGTTGATCATAACATAAAAATTCGTACGAAATTTTTGCACTTTTAGAATTTGCTAATATAATCAAACCCCCGCTATAACGAACCTTGCTTATAGCATATCCCCAGGTATAATGAAGGAACTAGTCACATCTTATACATTTAATGCTATTTTGAAATAGCATTAAATGTATATAGCTAGCTATAGCAGTATAATTGTACTGCTATAGCGAGCTTCCAAAGATTTGAATATCGGATATAACGAATTAGATGGATATTATGGATTGGAACATTTTTGTAATTTTCGTATTTTTCTAGAATTTCTGCAAGTTTTAACAAAAAAATTACTAATGAAAATCATCTACTTTTAGGATATTAGGATTCACTTTCCGTCTGTAAAGGAAAGCATATTGACATTGTTTTTCTTTTACGTTCAACTCTACTTTTCTCTGTGCTTTAAACATAGACTATAAGAAACATAAGTGACACCCAATCTAGTATAACAAGGGCACAATAATCAAATCTTAGGACACCTTATTTCGTCCTCTGTACGCAGTATATGTAACCATTAAACCAAAGAACGTAAGTTGGTTTTTAATTCCATTCAAATTCTTTGATCGAGTTATCAAACAGAGCTCTACTCAAGGCTGATACTATGAAGGGAATTTTGAAATTTTCGTTATTCCGGGAATGAAGTAGTGAATCATATGAGTTTGGATTATACAGTTTATTCGTCTACTAAAGAATGAAAAATATGTATCTACCTCTTTTGGGGTGAGGAGGGTATAAATGCTTTGCAAGAAACCAAACGTCCGGTCCTTGAGCTTTTGTCATAATGAAGTTCTGTTGTATATAAAAAGAAGCTGGAACAGGATACTTTTATATATCAACCGGCCAAACTCATTACTTCTGTTATTCAGAACTGGAAATTGATGCAGAATTTCGATACAAAACTACTGTTATATTATTAAATCATAGCTTCTTTTTCATATAGGATTTCTCTACCAATACCAAGCAATACCAATCTGAATATTTTTCCCAGTTATAAATGCTGGAAATATTTTAACATAAGATGATTTCAAAGGAAACAAAATATTAACTTTTTAATATTTCAGCAGTGGGAAACACACTTTTCATAATTTATCAAATTTTAATACTTATTTTTAGTAACTTTAAAATAAACTTGCCTTAGATTTAAAAAAAAAATGTCTTCTTGGAAAGATCATGTGTAAAATTTTCAAACAGAATGTTAAGTAAAATATGAAGCGTCAACAAAGTACTTACAAAAGGAGTACTTACAGGAGGTCGAATGCTCTCGCATCAGGCTCCTATAAAGTACTCCGCAAAAATACATCATTGCATTTTTCAGCAAATACGCGAGCTGTTAGTTTACTGAAAATTCATAAAATTCAGTCACAGTATGTTTTAGAAGGCTTTCGTGAAAAGTGACTATTAATTAATTTTCTTAATTATCAACACTAGATACATATATCAATAGTTAAGGAACTGATATTTCTATTTATACAGCTTCTCTAAGTAAGATACATAATTTCTTAAGAACAGTTTCGTAGAATAAATTGAAAATAAAATATTTAGCAGTTTTGAAGTAAAGGTTTAATTAATTAAATAAATAAAAGATTAAAATGTGTACGTATGGTATTCGTTAAGCTAAGAAAGCGAAGTTAAATATTGCTCATTATAACTTAATAAGATAAATGACAAATAAAATTAATTAAATAAATAAAAGATTAAAATGAGTACGTATGGTATTCGTTGAGCTAAGAAAGCAAAGTTAAATATTGGTTTATAACTTAATAAGATAAATGGAAAGCATTCCAAATCTTTATCATAATGGATTCATTTCTATTATAAAAGAGAAGAATTCTGATAAGTGACACACAAAAGATTATACTTGTATTGAAATACATAAAGTATCAGAAGCATCATTATTAACAGCAATGTTTATAAAAATGATTAACATCAGGTGCATTTTGAAGCATAAAAATTAGACGTATTTTAAATGATTTCGTTAGATATTATTAAATAATGGTAGACAAAACAAATAGGTACACAACAATGAACTGAATACATTATAAATTGTTTTTAAGATATATCAATTAGGCAGATTATAAAAAATCCAAAGAGTTAAATCATTAAGAATTGTGTTTATAAATTGTTGTTTGTCAAGCATATTCGATTTGAAAAATTGAGATATTAACATGCCATGTCGAATGCAAACATCATAGAAATGGAGTACTTCTGTTTCGCGTGAAAGATAACATTTTCCGCCTCTGCAATGGCAGTATTTCCTAATTGGCCTAAAGGAGACATGGTACGGAATGTAATAAAATTTGCAAAGACTTCATTGAAGAAGTTCCTAACGTCCATTAAAATAAAATTTATTAAGCATTTTTTACTTTTAAATCGCTCATTTAGTTAGTCAACATGTAGTTTTGCAGCTGATAAATTCCCTAGAAGCTTATTGGTACGAAAAGTGAAATATGGAAAGAGCAAGCTGCAGTAGTGAACGAAGTAAAAAAATGAATTTCCCTTGCGATTAACTAGATTTAAGTTATCTGAAACGTAAGGCAGAGGAGTTTCAATACAAAAAACATTTAGACCGCAAAGATCATTAAACCACTTCTTAATGTCCTCATACTCGTGAGAAGGCAGGGCAAGTCTTACTTTCCTTCCTCTTAATTAAGAGAAGACGTGTCATAGTTCAGCTGCCGTGTCTACACGATTCTAACTTCCTATTTGAAGATGCTACATTCTTTTCTTAAATTATAATGTAAAGCCTCGGTTCAACCCGGATTTGAAACGCACGATGTAAGTACTGGGAAGCATTTCAAACAATGGACATCAGAATCATATTGTTCTTAGCTCCCTGGTTGATTTCGAAGAATCACATCCATCACGCGTTTCCTTTCATCAAAATGTATAATGACTAAAGCGTATAATGTGTTTGTACCGTCACTATTTTGTAACACACTAG